AAAAAAAAAAAAAAAAAAAAAAAAAAAAATCAATGTGTTTAAACCATCACTCAACAACAGTTTACAGTATAAGTACTATTTGCATATTAATAATATCATACCTACAAATTCAATTATCGCCTCAACTATTAGGACTCAACTCATAAAGGACCAGTTGCAATTTGGACAGCTTTTTATATTCTCCTAAGAAGTAGAAAATGTAGCATCCAAAGGTTAGTCAGCCTTAATATTGTTTCCCACCCCCATCCCTGGGCCAGCAGTCAATGGACCATTTCCAAGTCCCTTCTCATTAGTTCTACTCTCACCAATAGTCCTGCTAATGACAGTGACAGTAAGAACATTTTCATGACTGTAATAGTGCCAATGAGACGAGAGCAAAATAAGGTCAAAGAAATGGCAGAAGCAGGCAGAGAACCACAGATACAACTGAGCAAAACTCTGGATTATCTAGACTTGTATCTGCATTGCTCTGCACAGCCTGAAGGAGAGCATCAATACTAAACACCTCTGTAGCACTGCAAGAACACTTCACTCATTTATAAATCAAGCATGAATTATAAAAACAAATGCAGATAGGCAGACAGCTGGATGCAAACGTTCACCTTTGGCTCTTTCTCAAGGATTATTAATGAACATGAAAGGGTTTACCTAAGATGATCATGTGAGCAAGCTTCTGCAAATGCTGCTCGGAAAGACGTAAAATCTTCTGCTGAAAATCTTGCTGGATCGATCTTTTCTATACAAGTAAAGAAAGCTACAGCCATAGGTGTCAATGGATTGAGGTTCAGTGACGTCTCAGGTGGAGATAAAGGATCAATATGAAGCACAGAGACTGAAAAAGTTCCAATAGCTAGTCTAAAAATAAGCTCAGGCCTGGATTCATCCATTGAAACGGATCTAGATGGGAGAGCTGAAATACATGTATTCAAAATATGTATGTAAGTTTAATGTTTAAAGATAATTAATGTGCATTCACTCAGGCATTAGCTTTAAAAAAACAACTGATCACACAATTAGAATGATATTAAACACGTAAAGTAAAATGAGTGATTATCATGCAGTATCACTTTAAGTACAAAAGAATCACACTGCAGCCTGGCTATGATGCCCACCTGTATGATCCCAGCACTGTGGGGGGTGGAAGATTGCAGGATCAAATCCCACCTGGACAACTTAGCAAGACTGTCTCAAAATAAAATATGCAAAGGGCTGGGAATGTAGTACAAAGGTCCTGGGTACAATCCCCAGCTCCAAAATATCAAAGAGTACTTACAATAGTAAATATATGAACAAAGCTTTTACATTAATAAAACTATATTGGAAAATGAAGATTAAACAAAAACTATGCATCAAACTTTCTTTAAATCTTGTGTTTGTTTATTTCAACTAAAATTTTCAGAGTCAGGTTTGACTATTTTTTTTTTGCACCAGGGATTGAACTCAGGTCCTTGTGCTTGTGAGGCAGGTGGTGGAACCACTGAGCTAAATCCTCGGCCCAATTTTCAGAGTAAGGTCTGTGTTGCTTAGGGGTACAGTGCTTGCCTACTGCACATGAAGCCCCAGGCTCCACCCTTAGTACTGCCAAAAAAGAGTAAAAACATAAGGTTCTCTTTTAAGGAATACACAGACAGTGAGAAAACAAACACACACACACACACACACACACAAAAAGAGACAGGTCAGGGGAACAGTTCAGCCTAGAGTGTGTGTCCAGCATGTGTGAAGTCCTAGGTTAGCTCCCCGGCAACAACAACAACAACAACAACAAAGAAAAAAGAAAAAGAAAAGAAGAAAGAAAAAGAAAAGAAAGATTTAGCTCAGTGGTGCTGTGCCTGACTGGCAAGCAGATTCCCAGTACCAAGGGAAAAAAAAAAAAGAAAGAGAAAAAAAAAGAAAATCAGTTAGTTTATAAAGATTCCTAAACTATAATAATAGTAAAAAGAAGAAACTGATAGTTTACTTTTTTACTAACAATATAACAATGTCTTAATAAACAAATATAATAAATGTGCAACTGTTCTAAAATATTTCACCATGAATTGTTTGATAATTCTTCATTTTCCTTCTAAATTTGTTCAATGGCCCAGACTAAGAGAAAGTTTATGAGGGACAAAACAAACAAAAAAAAAGCAAGGACTTTTTTAGCCTGTTTAGCCATCAAAGTAAAAAATAAATAAATAAAACTGACATTTATTTAGAAAAAAAAGAAAAATGAACAAAGAAGGCAAGATGGTTTTTTTAAAGTAACAAATTGTTTTCAGTTTTTAAATTTTCACAAATTCCAGGAGAAGCTAACAAAAAGTGTCTTCCTTGTACTTACCTGCCTTCTGCAAAGACGTTGGGTGAACTAGGCTGGGGGGAAATGTTGACCCTCTCCCTGGCTGTTCTTTACGAGGATCAAGGAACTCTCCCCAAGTTGGCTGAAGCTATGCAAAGATTTTTTTAGAGGACATGAATAAAGTACAGAATTTTAGAAGCAACTTTTCAATAAAAAAAAAATTAAGTAATACTTTACCACAGTAGCACTTAATGGGGATCCTGCTGGAGTATTTGTGTATGTGCTAGTTAATGATAGCTCCAGGTCCATATTTGGGGGATCCCCAAGGGGTGGAAGAGAAGAGAGACTATGGGACATATCCATATCCGCCATGGAGAAGAAAACTTCTTCTTCTGGAGAAAAGTAAATGTCATCACTGACATGATCATTTCACCAACTCATGTCTGTAAAGCAGGCTAATACACATTAATAAAGTCTTCTTCCTGTAGATTACTGAGACATAGTGGTATCCCAAACCGCATGTTACTTCCAATGGGGTAATTTATTTGAACCCAAGATATTAATGGCACAGTAAAAACTCAACTGATGAATATAAATTAACAAAAGGTTAAGCTCTCCTGCTAATGGATATTTTATTATTTTTAAAAATATCTTATACTCAGTTACTACCAGGTACGTTTTTAAGTGTCATATGACAATGTAGAAGTCAAAATTCAGATTTTAAAGTGATATTAGTACTAATATGCACAAGGCTCTGGGTTCAATTGCAAGCCCCCTAAATACCCATAAATAAATAAACAGTACAAATATATTGCATTTTGGTTGCATGTGAATAGTGCTACTTCCTTTAAAAAAAAAAAAATCAAATGCATTGTTTAGAATTCTATTTATATTTTAGTTCTTTTGGAAACTACTTTACCTTCATGCAAATGAAGTTTGTTAAGGCCAAACTTTGAGTATGTTTTAATTTTTTATTTGGTTCAACATTCCATACTTAAATTGATTCTTATTATTATGGTATCAGTGCTTAAACATTCAGTAACAACTATAAATGTAAAATAAGTATGGAAACATTTATATTTACATATAATTGATGGAAAGATTAACAGAGGGAAGTCTCCTATTTAAAGAATTTACTGCACATCATGTGAGCGTATAATTTAACAAACTGAATAGTTACTCTCAATTTGTCTTTTGTGTAAATCTGTATTTTATAAATATATTTTCCCTAGGAAATAATTTATAGGACAAAACTATACAATCAAAAAACATAACGATTGTAACCATGTGTTGGTGCATCACTATAACGCTGTAGTTAGGTCAATTTATAAAGTGAAACTCTTATTTCGTCTTCTGTTCTTCATTGCCAATTAAATTAAGTTTCATTTTACCTATCATGATACGGTGTGACTCTGGTGTCAACTGAGTTGCTTACCACGGCTAGAAGGTGTACGAGCCGTTTCTGTCTCATAAAAGCTTTGCTCTGAAGATACACCCACAGACAGGGAATCTTTTCTCAAATAATACCGGTTTAATTCCATCTGAATTCGATACTCGTCTTCCTGTTGCATAGGTCGGTTTTTCCTATCTTTATTAGCTAACCCTATTTTGCTAGAATTTTCTATAAGTATACAAAAGGAAAGCAAGACAGTAATTAAATTTGGAGTACTTTACTTAAGCATTTCTCTCCCAAAACCCATTTATCCAAAACCAATGGCAAATTAACACCACACATAGTGCAAAACTATAGCTATTAGATATTAATCAGAGATCTAAGCAACAGTTATAAGCAAGTTATAAGCAACAGGGATCAAAAACTTACCTCTGTGATAGATATTAATTATTAAAAATATTTTAATATGCATGCTACTTACTGGGTCCAAAAATTCTATTTTCTCAGTTTATACAACTATCTTCAACCGAAGAAATAAATCAAAGCAATTTTGAAAGAATTAAGAATGTACTACAAATAATCTGAATGCAAATTTGTATCATAATACAATTCAAAGGCCCCAATCCAATTAACTATTTAGGATTCTTATTTACAATACATCTTTAATTTCACATATTCAAAAATATACTTTCCTATATGAATGTTATAGATTTAAATTTTAAATTTTCAAAGAATTAAAAATAATAGTAGAGTTATACTTGCCTGGTCCAGCAATAGCTGCTAACATATCCAAAAGCAAGTGAACCTGCCTTGGTGACAGGAATAGATGAACAGAGTCTATCTGTCCATCAACATCCAACTTTAAAAAAGAAAAATTTCAGGATGAATATCCTTTAAAGGCTCATCACCATAAATCTCATTATATTTTACATTACTCAGATAAATACTTACCTTTATCTTGGATTCCTTCACCTAAGACTTTGCTAATTCATGCAATCTAAATGAAAAGCCTTAAAGGCCACTAAACTGCTTTAGAAGGACAAATCCTCAGGAGTCCCATGCTAGCAAGTCCAATGTCACATATTTTATCTCTGTCTTCTGAGTGTTTGGTATTTGAGAAGGTATAAGACACAGTCTCCAAGAAAGAATATTAAGGGAATGGTATAGTATGACCTTCAAAAGACTCAAATCATGGTTCTTAAAGCTCAGTGTGAACCAAGAACAAATAAAGTCAGCTTTCATAAGCCTGCCCACAGGTCACTCTGCCAACACTGCCTCTCAGATGCCTACTATGTTCCACTAAGTCTGTGCTCTCTGGGCTGTGAGAGGGGCAGCTACAGTAAAATAGGGTCAGAAAAGGGTACTTTGGCGGACTTTCCTTATTGCAACTGTCCACCCATGTTTCCTTCTACAAATAAAAGGTCGATCACACCCTCTTCCTGGTTCTTGCGCAAAATACTCTGACAAAAGCAGTAACTCTATTCTCTACATTACCTTCTGAAAAGATGCATATCCCTATCTTACCTTTCATTTATTATCCTTGTGCCATTTTGCAATTGATAAATAGTTCAACTAATGAAATGTATTTATATTGGGAAAATGGCTTCCCGCCCAAGAGAAAAACAAATTCTTTCTGATTCTAAAAACAATAAATAAACTACTCAGTGACTCTGACATATATTTTCAGTATCTGACTAAGAATATAGCACACTATTTAATAACAATAATCACTACTATCATTTTATTTTAGGGGCTCTTTGTTGACTGCTGACATCCCTAGCCATGTCCTCAATTAAAGCTGAGGAGATCAGGAAAATATGTTTTATCTGCCAGTTCTTTTCTTGGTGTTGAAAATATAATCTCTGATTTTCCTTAGAATGATCAAGAGTCTCATTTTCAATTTTTCTAGAAATATTTCATTATTAGCCAGGGATGTAGCTCAGCAGCACTGCACCTGCCTAGTAAGTGCAAGGCCCTGAGTTCGATTTCTGGTACCAGAAAAAAGAAAAAAGGAAAAATATTTTATTAGTAGTACATTTTGAATTTGGCATACATAGACAAAGCTCTTATTACTTTGTTTTAAAAATACGGCCAGGGGTGAGTTGCATCCCTGGTACCACAAAAAGAAAAAAAAAAAAGAAAGAAAGAAAGAAAGAAAAATATAAGATAGGAAGTACAAGTAAAAAAATTTCAACTCAGTGTGACAAAGGTCATGAAAACAAAGAAGACTAAATTCAATCCAGGCAGTCCCTTGTTTTCATATATAATGTACTCCCAAAAACATATGCCAAAATTGAACATGAACTACCACATTTACAGGCTACTCAACAGCATACTATTTTCAGAACTAAAAAAAGAAAAATGTATGAAACTTTTCATAACATTTTAAACACATAGTTGAAAGACGTAAGTTTTTTTTTTTTTTTGGTACCAGGGATTGAACTCAGGTCCTTGCGCTTGCAAGGCAGGCCACCAAACCGCTGAGCTAAATCCCCAGCCCCTGAAAGATAAGTTTAAGGAACAGTGGTAACAGACTAAAGCCCTAATGCTTTGGGCAACCCAGGAATACCACTTTTGTCTACACTCTGTAAAGGGCATAAGAGCTGTATCTCTCAACGTTAATCTACCGGACTTTTATTTTTATTATATTCACATATTTTATCATAGTATTTTCATTATATTAAATAGCATTCATTTTCATTAAATAGAAACAAAATCACAGATACTCAGATTATTATGCAAAAGTTACTATATAGGCAAAGATAACAGTATCACTAAATATTAAACCCTACCTGGCACACAATGTCACCATGCAAAATTTCCAGATGTTCATTTGTAACCTAACATACAAAAATCTAAGAGTACAATATAAAGAGCACCAATACAAATGAATACACAATGTGAAAAGCTTTGGGTTTGCACAAAGATCAAAAGCATACAAAGGTTGGAGACAAACACTTCTCAGTCTTTGGGCTAAGATCAATTGTAATGAAGACTACATGTAATGAGTCAAAACAGAATTATGAGTGTTATTGCTAGGGTTCTTCCATATTAAGCAGATGCATCACCAGAGGACAGAGGTGTGCTGGTTTCCCACAGCAGGGGACGCCTTACTGTGTTTACACACACCTACACCACCCTGCTCCTCTAACAATCCCCTCCTGCTATTTCATGAAGGGCTGGAATCTGAGGTGGGTTGGGGCAGTCAACAAAGGGGAGGGCAGCAATCTGTAAAAGGAATGTCTTCATTCTAATCATCACTTTCCTTCTCCTCCAATCTGGTCAAGTATCCCAAATCCAAGAAGGAATTCTGAGGATTTTTCACTCCCCTGAAAATCTCTTTATGCATTTAGTGCCTCCCTCTTGTGTATTCTACAGCAAACTCTGTCCTCCTTGGTGTATCTTTCATTAAAGCAAAGCTGGTATTCCACCCTCCTCTGCATCTGTTCCAAGAACCTGCACAGGGTCTGACATTCAGCAGTCACTCAAATATATTCAGCTAGCTGATCAGTAATAAAAATAAATAAATCCTGATAGCCTCTTAATTTAAACTAAAGGAGGGGCCAGGGATTTAGTTCAGTGGTGCCCGGGCCAGCCTCACAAGCACAAGGTCCTGAGTTTGATCCACAGTACCAAAATAAATAAATTAAATTAAATTTAAATTTAAAAAATAAACTAAAGGAAGAAAATAGTGACAAATACATTTTTAACTGATTAAGTAATTGTGAGGCTCCTGATTCTCCAATGCTATCGATCAATACTTGTTAGGAAACAAGTGTCTCTACACAATGTCTTCAAAAAGTTATGAGGCACATTAGAAAGATCAATCTCTTTTTATAAATATTATACGACTATAAAAATAGTCATTCCATTCATACATATATAATTAAATAAATATCTTCTATAGTCAACATCTCATGTTCCAAACCTTTTTCCCTTTAAAACTTAATTTTATAACTGAGAGAAATTGTACAATCTTAAATATGCTTAATACAAAAAGGGATTTTTTTACTGTTTTGGGGGTTCTTTCATTGGTGTCTGGCTCTATACTGTAGAGAAAGCAGCCCTTCATAAAACCTGATCTGCAGCGCAGGGCAAAGGTTGTCCTCAGCTGAGTACTGTGACCTAAGACCAGCTAAGAGTAAAAACACTGACCAGGAGACAGCAGATAATTAGTTAAGGATAACCTACAGTAATCAAGCAGTAGGAAACTATATTAACTAAAGAATAGTCATCATTTTACTAGAGAAAATAAAATGAACCCTGACCTTAGCTCCAGGAAGCGCTTCATTCTGTTTCAAAGTGAGACTCAATTCCATCCTACCAAATAGCCCTCCAATCTGCACTGGGTCCGGGGGTGCTATCTCAGGTAAATTTCTAGTTAGTTGTGGGTGTGGCTCATAAACAATCTTGGGGTTCCAGCTAGGTGACAGCTTTGGCTCAGTTTCCTATAGTAATGAAAGGAGAATAAAGCAACTATTTAAAATACTTTACTGGAAATATACTAGAATTCAAAACATAAACGTCAACTTAAAAATAAAATATCTGACATCAAAAATTGTATTGTTACAATGGATAAACCAGTATCTTGTAGCTAAAATGAAATAGCGGGATGGTTAGGTTAGCATAGTACCTTGCAAATGAAGATAAATCATGGAAAAGAACTTGATGAAAGAAACATAGTATTTATCTACATTATACAATAAGAAAAGCTAATAGACACTGTATAATTAAGAAAATCTGATTTGTGAAATACTGTAACAGTTCAATTGTAAAAATTAACAGAGTTCCTTAATTAGAAAGTATTTTTTAAAGATATGATTTGTAAGATAAGTTTTCAGCAATATATTATGAAGGTAATTTTTGAGCACTGCTTCACTTCCTGAATTTACTGCAAAAGGATATTAGATATAATGCATCACTTTGTCCCAAGACACAGTATTCAGTGCTTCTCTAGCAAACTAATGAACAGCAAGCTGGTAGGAAAGGAGTTAATTCTCAGGGTTTCAAAATCTCTGAAATACCTATCACCATCACTGAATATCTGTGTTGACTCCCAAACCAGATTGAGACTCATTAACCTGTGTTGCATATCCTAGCAATATTTCAGAGTCCTCATTTAAATTTTGCCTTCTAAAAATCTGTGATGATGTTTTAGGTGCTTTTCCTTACCGCTGGTGCAGTTGAACACACTGGGGAAGATTTCGCTGACGCAGAAAACTCATCCCAGAAGAGAGACACTCCAGAGAGCTGAAGTAATTTGTGAGCAAAAGCCATGGGTTGGTGTACATTGATTCCTGAGGATTCATCAGCGGTTTCATCACAGTATACAGTTCTGAAAGTTAAAAACCAAAGTGCATTTGTACAAAATTCCCAGGAAAACTTAATTGCAATGATAAAAGAGGAAGAGCTGTAAAGTTAAAGAGATTTTCCAGGGTTAGTTCTCCTCAGAATATGTCTGTAACAAGAAGGCCTATAATGTAGGTCAGCATTGCTGTGCTTCAAATAAAGCATTTCACAAAAAGACCTTAACTCTAAGAAAAGTTTTATGAGTCTCTTAAATTTTGGTGGGAAAATTAATAACTTCCTAAAGTTACCTTCAAGAAAAACAATTCCTGGGCCAGGGATTTAGCTCAGTGGCACTGTACCTGCCTCAAAAGCTCAAGGTCCTGAGCTCGATCCCCAGTACAAAAAACAAAAAGGAAAACAATTCCTATACTCTCTTGAGAAACATCTCTTGTAACAGTAAGACACCACTTAGCTTCAAGTCACAAGTCTGACACAGAATGACATTTTTTAATTCTTCTGTGACCAATATCCAGTTTAAACAAAATAAAGAATGTGGCTCTAGGGCCAGGTGTGGTAGCACAGCCTGTTAACCCAGCACTCAGGAAGCTGAGCGAGAGGATTGCTGTGAGTTGGACAAGGCCAATCTGGGATACATAGTTTAAGGCCAACCTGAACTACAGAGCAAGAGCCTGTCTCAAAAAAAAGAGGTGCTAAATGCTTAAGATGTTAAATACTGCTTTAATATGTCAGCTAAAGATAATGGCTCCTAATTTTACAGATCTGTTACAGTAACTGTCTCACTAATAAGCGTCTTGTGAAAGACAGAAACCATAACATATCTTGGTGAAGGACTCTAAGAGAGATACAAGGCGTCTTTGGTGCTCAGTATACAAAGGCATCCTGCTACTTCTGTGAGCAGCTCATAAGGCACTGACACAGGGACACAGTTATACCTCAGACTAGCACTCAGGCGTGTCTACAGAAATGAATCTCCACTTTAGAGCTATTTGATGGAGGCAATTCAGGATACAGAGAAAATTAAAAGCAATGTGTTTATATCATCTAATCACTATTTCATGTATTAACCTCCAAATTATCCTCACAGAATCCTTAAAATAAACTCCCCTAACCCTTTCTCACTAAAGTGGCACTCAGGTAAGCAAGGCAAAGTCAAAAAGTCACATTAAGTGAAACATGGCTATATTCATTTATTGTTCACATAAAAAAAAAAAAATGCCAGAGTACCTAAAATTTAGTAGCATTCAATATTATTTTGATTTGATATTAACAGCTTTGAATTCAACATAGTATTATATATAATTACAGCTCAAATGGTACTTTGTTTTTAGTGAGATTAAAACATAACTTGGAGAGTAGCATTTTACTCTGGAATTATGTAATATTTTAATTTAATATCAACACCTCTAGTCTCCAAAAGCACTGGAAACTTTCTTCCCCCCAGTGTTGCAGATAGATGCCAGGATTTCTCACATCCCCAGCCCAAAATCCTGAAATTTAATATGAGAGTTACAATAAGGTTATCTATTTTCATATATAAAAATTCTTACCTTTCTATTCGAATTTCAAGTGCAGTTCCAGTTTTGGAGTTCTCTGGCACATGTTCGAGTCTCAAAACTGTGTCTATAAAAGTGACTTTTACTCTTCTTAGTACTAGAGTAAACAAGTAAACATCAGTGGAAGAACCATATTATACTGAATAAAAACTTCTAATAAAAGAAATAAATATTAATTTGATAAGAACTTTAAAAAATGAACTAGATTTATTTCCTTTACAATCCCCAAATCCTGAGCTTTGTATTAAATACTGTGCCTTACTGAACACTTAACGCAAGTTACATCCCAACAGACACCTAAAACGATGACTAACGCTGTCTACTTGATTCATTCTGCAAGCATGATAAATCAAACAAAGGAAAGACTAAAAAGAAGGATCATTGGCTCAACTGAATATAATAATGAAAATAATCTCAATTCTCAAGTTCTGAAATGAGAACAGTAATCCTTTTAAAGTCAGTCCAATAGAGTTAGCTGCCTTATACAGGGCTTATTAAAGATACTAAGTTACTGGGGCCGGGGATTTAGCACAGTGATTCCACTGCCTGACTCACAAGGGCAAGGGCCCAAGTTTGATCCCCGGTACCGAAAAAAAAAAAAAAAAAAAAACTAAGTTACTAAATAAAATCTAAAATTTTGAAAATGTTCAATAACACCAAACCTGTTTCAATGGTTTCAGCAAACTTTTCCAGTCCTTCAAAAGGCTGGGATCCTTCTCCTTGTTCATCTGTTAGTTTCTGGCTAAGACATTCTTTTGCCAGTTGCATACTGCTGGTCATGAAACTTGACCAATACATAGGTTCAGAACCAGTTGCTGCAGAAAATACAGATTAATCCTAAATTATTTCTCAAATTACAATAATACCATTTCTTAAAATAACACATTTCAAATAGATTGTTAATGTTATGGTATTGCCCAGAAAAGCAATATTCTAGAAATTATTCTCGAGATTTAAATATTATCTTACAGACAACTGAGAACAACAACTAAAAAAGATCCCAGAAAAAAATTCCAATTTTCACTGCGTTTGTTTTTATCAAATATTAATTCAAATATTTATCAATGTATTTATTCACATATTAATTCATATATTCATTATTTTTAGATACATGGTACCATTCTAAATACTACGGAGTAGAGGTCAAATGTTTTCTGTAAAGGGTCAGATAGCAAATATTTAACACACTGTGGACAATATGTTCTATCTCACAATTACTCAACTCTCCCACAACAGTAAAAAAGTAGCCAAAGAGCAGAAAGCAAATAAACATGACTAACTTTCAATAAATTTTTGTTTATAAAAGCAGGCGACAGGTCTGACTTGATCTAAAAGCTAACCCTGCTTCAGGAAATAGAAAAATAAATTAATTATGAAATCCTGCACTTGGAGCTTACAGTATCATAGAAGAAATACAGCTTAGAAGAATTAATAGGGCACTATTATATGTTAACAGAAAGCATTATAAAGCTAAGAGGCTAATTCTTGTAAAGCTAAGAGCTAATTTTTCTAGCTAAGTAAATTAACAGGAAATCTGGAAGAGGCAGCAGATGACACAGGCTTTGGAAATCAGTATAAGTATAGATAAAATAGAAGGGCATCCTTGAAGGAAGAAACACATGAACTGTGAAAAATCCTTTCTAAGATCATCCATCCAGAGAAAATTCCATTGCACACCCTTGTGATATTCAAAACAAACTGATGGAGATCACTAGAATTACTGCCTTCCAAAATGGAATTTTAAAGTCCTTTTAGTGAAATATTTTCAAAAGGAAAAAATATTTTATTTTAAAGTTTTACTTTCCATTGGGAAGTACTGTATCTACTTATCGCAATGAAAAGAGAATATTCTTGAAAATTAATGAGATTATTAAAAGTTTATTATTGCATACCTATATACCCTTCACCTAGACTTATTAATTTCATCTCATTCAATCCATTTTCTCTAAGTAGGTATTCTACTATAAAGAAGAACATTCCCTTCTTCCTGCCACTTTACAAGCTTATTTATTTATATGACTACGGACCTAGGAATTTTTTTAGTATGTCATAATCCATTATTGCCATTATTCTTTTTTAACACTCCAGTTGTCCAAGATTTGGTCAATAGAAGTCCCTTCAAGTCTAATCTGTGTCCTTTAAATATTTCTCCATCAGCCTTTGAGAACTCTTTGTTTGGGGCATGATACTTTGAATTTTTAAATTATAAATCACTTTATCCATGCACAGCAGTGCACAGCTGTAACTCCAACTACTCAAAAGGATGAAGCAGGAGGATTACACATTCAAGGCCAGCCTGGACAATTTAGCAAGACTTTGTCTCAAAATTTAAAAGGAGCTGGGATATAGCTCAGCGGTAGAGTGGCTGCCTAGCAAGCATAAAGCCTTGGCTTCAATCCCCAATATGGGGGAAAAGAGGTCTCTTTTTGACAACAAATAATTACATAAGCCAAAGTATCTATATACTAAAGTTCCTGTGAGTAAACAGAGAAAGACACAACTCTAAAGATAAAATTATGCACATCTTGCATATACAAATACAATTCAAAGTAATAAATACTGAATTTAATGCAGTTAGGTTTCTAAACAGTAAAAACAGAAGTAAATAAAACAGAAACATTAACACACCTACCTAGGCGAGGTCTAGGTCGAAAGACCATTTCTAACCCTTTCACTTCCAGTGCACAATTATCCTGTAGCAAGGAGCCCCATGGAACTGACAGAGAAATTGACTGAATGAAGCCTTCGGTGACTTCTAAAGGTGCATCTGCAGACTCCAGGATTTCATTGAGACACTGAAGAGAAAAACCAAGTTCACTTTGAAATCACACAAACAACACAAAACTGTTAACCTTTCAAAGATGTGACTATGACAACACATGATCAAGCACTGGAGATTAGGAAAGCAGGGACAAGATGGTAGGGCATGAGACACATTTAGCTGACGTGTGACTAGCTGTTTAACAGAAGAAATTGACCGTGTTCTTTGAACATGACACAGAACTCGATCTAGAGATTCAAGGCTGGACATCTGAGGGACAGATAACAGAAGGCAGAGAAGGAGGAATTAACCACCAAGGTGGTCCAGGCAGAGGCAACAGCATGTAAGATTCTAAGAAGGCAGAAGGCAGAAGGCAGAGAAATACAAGCACACATATTTAAGGCTCAAAATTATGTAAAAATGAGAAGTTTCTTTAGTCTTTAGTATGCCAAAGTGAAAAGGCAGAGAGATAAGCCTAAATAGATCAGGGGGAGTAGACTCCAAAGAGCCTTGTAATGCATGTTAGAGTCTGAAATCTATCCGCAGGAGCTGTGTGAAGCCATGGAAGTACTTATCAAGGCTGCCATGAGAAGAGTCAAGCTTTCAGTGGGCCCTTTCCACTGCCATGTAGAGCACAAGCAGGAGAAAAGCCAAACTTGGGCAAGAAGGCTATATGTAACAGAGACTAAATATTGGTTTGGTAATAAGGACAGGAACAGTTAGACATGAACAGTTAGAAGTGGATGGATTTCTCCACTATATTTAGGAAGCAGAAGAATTAACTGGCATCATGAAGGGTAAAGAAAAGAAGGAACTGAAAATAACACCAAGGATGCTGGCTTGGGCAACAGCTTGAATAGTAGTGCCATTTACTGAGCCAGAGAGCGTAGAAAAGCTGGTCAGGGTTAGTGGAAATCTAGGGTATTCAGTTCTGAACTCTGCACTTCAGGAAATATCTTGGTGAAGTGTTCAGGAAGCAGCTGGACCGTCCAGTTTAGAGCTCAGGAGTCACTGGGGCTGGAGAAGAGGTGAGAAGAGACAGCCTTTGGGAACTTAGCTAGACTAAAAGGACAGGAGGCTTAAGACAGGCCCCTGAGAAACACCAACATTTAACAGTGGGTTAAGAAAGAGGAGCCTGCACAGCAAACTACCAAAAAAAGTAAACAGGTAGGAAAGAAAAAAATCAGGAGTCTCATGTCCCAGAAAATTGTGGAAAGACAATATGAAAGAGAAGAGCAGTCAGGTGTAACACAAGCTAACAAGACATCTGCTGTGTGCACTCTGAAGTACTGGTGACCAGGGAGAGCAATTCTGGGGGCGCAGGAGGGCAAACCAGACTACACCACAAGAAAGATTGATGGGGTGAACACGTGTAGCAGAACAATTAAATGCAACTTTGTTAGACAACCCCTGCTTTAAATTAAAGTAATAAATATTTTCAAATGCCAGCTTGTATGAAAGGTACGCCCTAGATGGTACAACGTGCAGGATAGTGTTGTCATTTGTTGTCTATTCCACTGATGGTAAGCCTTTTAGAGATGAATGCCCAAACTCCAAACCAAAACCCACTTATTTATCACAAAAGGCCAACACTGCAATTGAACCTGAATAAATCCTGAGGTTTTAGTTTAGAAAAAACAATGCCAGGCAAGGTGATACATGCCTGCAATTCCAACACTCAGGAGGCTGAAACAGGAGGATGGCTGTGAGTTCGAGGCCAGCATGGGCTTCATAGTGAGTTCAAGTTCACTCTGAACTGCATAATGAGACCCTATCTCAAAAGAACCAAAAGCAACAACAACAACAAAATGCATACACTTGGCTGGCGTGCCAACACAGAGGGGCTCTGCAGGCCACTATGGTACACATACCACAGGCTCACCATGACTGGTCTATATCCAACACTGAAAGGGAGATTTAGACTGCCTCGTGATTCGTCACTGGAGATTTCTACCTTAAGGGGCCTTCCTCAAATGAGGACATGTAAGAGTAAATGGGCATGGATGGTCTTAGGTATAAACATCCAGGTCCTCAAATCTATTTTTTCTTAATATTCACAGAGTACACACAGTGGTGGCATCGTGTTGAGCCTCCTGTCCTACAGTTCTTTGCACAATCTTCCTACTCCAAAGGCCCAATCTTTCTCTTAAATCCTCCCTATGTACCACACAAACTAGAAAAACCTCCAGGTAGAGCAAGCAATATATTTTTTTATTGTTTTGAAATGACACTCAAAGAAATTCAAAAAACTAAATGATATTGCTACTACAAAATCCTTCAATTTTCATTTGCTCATTGAGGATGGCAGTATTTACCATGCATAGATACGTTTTTAAATTTTAGAATAAAATTTATGTTGGATCCTACTCAATTCCAGCTGTAAGTATATTCAGCTACAGATTCATGAACCAACTAAGAAGGAGGAAAAAACGTATTAAGAAGTTTATTCCCACTAAAACTTTTTATGTTTAATTTAAAAATGTGTAATATATTTATACTATTCTGACCAACTGTATACGTAACAGTAATTGTAATAACAATACAATCCAGAGGCAAAATTATAACACTTAAATCCTAATGATTATAGGAAAAAGGCACTGGTAAGATGAATATGGTAAACATTAGAGCAGCCCCTAATTAAAAGAAAAAGGTAAATAAATCATTAAAAGAATTGCTAGAAAATATTTACCCAATGCACAAATATGTCCAATGTTAATAGGAAATTTTAAAATGACCAATTTCAATTTATAAATCTTTTATTGTAGAAAAATGACAAAATGATCAATGTCTTCAACATATATATACGTGTGTGTGTGTGCGCGCGCGCGTGTGCGTGCATGCGCTCGCGCGTGTATGTATTTTTTTTGTTTTGGGGGGGTTTTTTCGTACCAAGAATTGAACTCAGGACCTTGTGCTTGCAAGGCAGGTAGTAGAACCACTGAGCTACATCCCCAGCAATAAGTCTTAAACATAAAATGTGCAAATTGCAATAGAATTCTGAAGATTTTACACACTAAGTTAATGGAAAAAGACATAATGCTAAACTTCCAACTATTAATATAGAGCTTGTTAGGCATTTTTAAAAGAATAATGGTAAAAATTGAGATCATACTGGATGAAAACACTGTATTTTTTATATATTCTTTTTTAAAACTTTATTTTATTGGTACACGTTAGCAATACATGAAGTTTACATTCATCTTAGGAGTATGCACATGTACATAATGCATCTTGATTTTTTTATTTCACTTCTCCTCCCCACCTACCACCCTCCCTTCATCTCTAAATCCCCTTTTCCCACTTTCATTATTATTATTATTATTATCCATCATTTTTGGGTTCATGTTTATGACATTTGTTTACATTCATTATGGGTATCTAGTACATGTATGTGAAACATCTTAAATCTTTTTACTTCTTCTTCCCCTCCCTCTACCCTCACCCTCATTCTCTTAGATCTCTTCCCATTTGCAAGAGATCTATTTCCATTTCCTTCTAGTAGTCCTTTATCTTGCTCTTTATTTATACTTTGCCTTACTCAAAAACAGATACCCTATGTTATTTAGTTTATATTTATTTCACTTAACATTATATTTTCCAAGTGTCTCCATTTTCCTACAAATGTCTCAAATTTATCTTTACAGCCACATAGTATTCCATTATTATGTACAGGTCCCATATTTTCTTTATCCACTTATCTATTGACAGACATATAGGCTGCTTCCAGGATTTAGTTATTATGAATTGTGCTACTATAAACATGGCTATTCATGTGTCATTGTAATATGATGTCTTTAGCTCTTTGGGGAAGATACCTATATGGAAAATAGCTGGATCAAATAAAATTACCTTTTTTTTTCCTTCTACTTTTGAAAATTCTAGTTTTAGTTTTTTAAGAAATCTGCACACTGTTTCCATAATGGACTGTACCAGTTTACATTTGCACCATCACTGTAAAGGGGTTTCTTCTTCACCACAATCATGCTGATATTATTTGATTTATGATTGCCACTCTTTCCAATGTAAGACAAAATCTTAGTGTTTTTTTTTTCATTGTTTATTGGTACATTTTAGGTGTATAATATGATGACATTCATCATTGGGAATCTGTACCTTTACATGATATATCTTGGTTCTTATTCTTTTCCCCATTCCCCTGCCCTCCCTTCAACCCCTCCACCCCTCCCTATCTGCAAAGACTTTTTTTGTTTTTCCTTTTCACATATTTTTTCCTTTCCCTTCTTTTCTTTCCCCTACCCCTCCCACTTCCCCTTTCCCTTCTCCTTTGGCCCTTTTCTTCCTATTTCACATTATTATACATTTTGGTCCCCATTTACACTTTCAGTTTCTCACATCAGAGAAACTACTCAGTATTTACACATGTGTATCCTATTTATTTCACTTTTTAGTGTTGTTTTAAATTGCATTTCTGTAATGGTCGCAGATGTTGAATGATTTTTCATATGTGTACTGGCCATTTCTACTTCTTCTGAGAAGTGTCTGTTCATTTTGCTTGCCCATTTTTATTGGGTCTTTTACTTGGGGTGGTCTAATTTTTTGAGTTATTCATACATTCAAGATGTGAGTCCTTTGAAGAATAGATGGCAAAAAATTTTTAAACTGTATTTTAATATCAATATTTACAATATACATTATCCTCTACAACTAAACTATAATGAAAAAGTTAATTCAATTTAAAAATGTAAAAGAAATGCATAGTTTTAAAAATATTTTTAATTGAGAAAATGTGTTTGAAGACCACTCCTTTAAAATGTAGCACATGTTCAGCATTAATGGAATGCTCCTAGTTCTGACTAGTAATTAGCTGGTGGATTTGGACAAGCTTTTAACTTCTGGGTCCCTACTTCCTCATCCATAAAATTGGAATAGTAACTATTTCTTGGGGTATTGTGACCACAGATGAGATGATACATGTAAAGTTACCGATATAGCTCCTGGTACCAAATGAATACTTTAAATGCTGACTATTGTTCTTCAGCTTCCACAGTGCCTAGCAGTTCAGTGACGAGCTCTAACAGGAAGTCAAGGTGTGCCTGACAGTATAAGGAAATATATAACATTTAGTTATATATTCTTTTTAACATATAATTCCTTTAATATTAACTAGAAAAAATAATATATCCTTACTAGTTTAAACCAAGGCAGCAGACAGAGATAAAATAGAGCATAAAAATTTGCCAAGAACTATTTGGGTCAATTCACATTTAATTAGCACCTACGTTTACTATATATAGAATTGCACTACTTTATACCTAAATTATTACATTAAATCTTTATAATATGATTATAAATATTTGTGAATTATGTTGTTTTGCACAAATTTTACAGATGAGGAAATTGATCAGGGAACTGAGCATGCACAGCCCTCATCTTGTAATAGAAGTCCAGCGTAACACCCCTGATCGTGTTCTATACGTGACTACAGACTGTGTGAACAGTTGCTGGTTCCTTTCTGTTTCCCCACCATTTGTCAATCTGGAGCCTCTTCTTTCCAAGAAGACTGAGTTCTACACTGAAGTCACTCCTCAGGGTTCCTCTGGGGCCCTTCACAGTAACTGTGCAACCCTTCACAGTGATGTTGTTGACCTGTTCTGGAATGTTAACAGGGATTGCTGAGAATGGTCTTTATTCTTAAGTAATGTGGCAAGGATCTGTCATTGGAATTGTAATGGGAATTGCAGCAGATCTATTTATCACTTTTGGCTATATGGCCATTTTAACAATATTCTGCCTACCCATAAATACTGGGGGTCTTTCCACCCATATATTCTTCAACTTCTTTCTTCGGTGTTCTGTAATTTTCATTGTAAAGGCCTTTTCCCTCCTTGGTAGGTTGATCCCTAGTTGCTGTTGTGTTTTGGTTTGGTTGAGCTAATGTGAATGAGCTCAGTGGTGCCACCACCTGCCTCACAAGTGCAAGGTCCCCGAGTTCAACCCCTGATACCAAATCAACAACCACTTCTGATTTCCCACAAGGATCAAATAAAAAACCACACACACATCTAGAACAATGCCCAAGGTAAATTAATGTTCAAGATACATTAACTCCCTTCCTCTTTGTCTTAAACTATGGCATGTGTGACTGTCAACTTTGATATGTCAACTTCATTGGATTAAGAAATTTCCAGATTAGTAAAGTTCGCTGTTGGGTGTGTGGAGTGGATCACGGAAGTGTAGCCTTGGGTACTAGACAACCTCCCTCTCCTGTGTTTTTCTGGCACTATCCCCCTGCTCTGCTTAGCTTCACTCTATCATCCCCTTCCACCATAAAGTTTCTGCCTCAGAGCCTACTAACCATATACCTGATTTCCTGAAACCTTATTCCCTGAGCTACATGAAATCTCTCAACCTTTAAATTGCGGGTGTTGGGTACAATGAGAAAGATAATAGAGAATGTTATGAAGAAAGCAAAGGTTTAGGAATTAAGCAGATCTGAATTCTCACTGTAAATACTCACCAGCTGTGTGATTTGGTCAAATTATTTAACTCCACCATAAAACAAAAATGCCTACCTTTTAAGATTGTTAACTCATTAAAGGATAACACACAGAAAGTCATTTCCCCTACAAAAGACATTTCATAATTGTCCAGGGCTGGGTATATAGCTCAGTGGTACAGTGTTTGCCTAGCATGTGCAAGACCCTAACTCTGATCATCAGCACCAAAAAAAAAAAAAAAAAAAAAAAC